GCCAAAAAATGAGTGCAGAATAACTAAAATGTGTACATCAACCAAAAGATAGTGTTGAAGTAGAATAAAATTATGTTTAAGCAGTTTCAAAGCCATATTAATCAAAATTATATTTCCAGCATCTTAAATCCCTAAATGGATGTTACGGATAAACCACTATCAGCCACGAATTTTTGAACAGCTGTAAGCAATAAAACTGTTTGCTTCCTCAGGAAACTCATGATGGCTTGTATGTGCATCTCCGTCTTTTTAGGTAGCGTGTAGGCGTCATACAAAAAGGTGATGAGCTTATTCCTCATAGCCCCAGTTTCTTCAGGAGGGTCGCAGTAAAGGCTGCGAGAAAAGGTGTTGAAGTAGAATAACATAACGTCCAAGCTTCAAAGCCATATTAATCAAAATGATTGGCAATTATATATCACGTCATGCAACACTTTTTAAAGCCATTTCGGTTAAGGAGTATCAGTATGCATGATTTTGCCCATTCTACAAATAAGTCAGAGTCAACAGTTGATGAAAGACTTGGCTAACATATGCTGAAATTCGCGAATCAATCAGTATTTAAAACAAAATCCTATATATTACTTTTATCTCAGCAACAGTAACGCAAACGAAACTCTTCATTTCATTGAAAGTAATCGTCTAAAACGTACACTGCTGATGTGAACCAATGTCTTGATAATCAAAATTTCATCTTTTTGTCAGAGATAAAAATCAAACCTAGTACTTTACTATAAGGATTCACTGTAATCAGCCTTATCACGGGTTGAGAAACAAGTAACTAAATAACTCAGGTATAGATTGAATTATGTACAGTATGATGCTAATTTGTTTTTTAAAAAATGTGAAGATAAAGCGACAGTTTAAAACATAACAGCTGAATATTTTTGCCGGGTGGTAGTAAGCATTGGACTGCCCTTGCGTCTAGCAGAATGCATTCAATTAACGCTTCTGCCGGGGTGTTCCTGTTAGTGTTGTCTCAAATCGATGAATGTTATCCCAACCCTCCCAACTCTGAGGCTTTGATGCAAACTACTTACACAAGAAACTCGGTTTGTTTGACCTAACCCACCTGGCCGTTGGCACACATACTTGGGAAGTGTTTCACTGAAGTTTCTAGAATCTTTCAGACTGAATGCAGCTCACCTTCCCTAAAGAGACCTGGCCTATAAACCCATACTACTGACAGATTCGCGGTAATGGTTCCTTTCTATAGACATCTAATTGTCGAGACTTATTAGCTGATTATTCCTTGTAAGTTTTCACATCCAAATGAAACGTTCCACATTATATCAGCCTTCTTTGACCGATTCAAAAGGAATAAAAAATCACAATCAAGCAGCCTAATCTTGAAGGAAAGGTTTAAATCAGTTGTTAGCAGGACATACCACGGCGCCAAGGTCATCTTAGTGGAGAAGACAGAGCCCATATTTCAACACAAATCTAAACAGCATTTGAACGAGTGCGTCACATCCCATCGTGTCGATCCATTTAGATGTAAGTGTGGACACATACATAGGGAGGAGCAATCGTGACATGCAGATAATCGCAAAACACATGTTAGAAACTGGTCATAAGATTGATATGAAAACGCCCTTTGCTGTACTGTATACATATGATCAGGTTCGAGTACTTAGATTTATCGAAGCACTTGCTATGGAATAATGCAAACCCCTTCTATGCATTCAAAAACACTTTGTATTCACACTAAACCTACCCTGGTAGTATTATATTAGGTTCAACTCTTCATACCACTGGTGATGGTGGTTTGGCCTTTTATTATTTTTTCTCTATTGTTTTCGTCCTCCTCCTTTCGTCTTTCTTAATCGTAATTCCATTGGCTTAATTAACCTTTCTAAGTTTTAATACAAATTAATCAACAAGTTCATGTGTGATTGTTTGAAATGCATAGCTCTAACATGTCACATGCTTCAAATAATCTGTCTTCTTATTATATTGCTTAAAAGAATATGGAAAGTCTAAAAAAGGGAAACAAAAAATATTTTTCAGGACATACTTTTATTTAGTTGACTGGTATTTGTATACTCCAGTGCGGTTTACTAAATTCAAACAGCTTAAACTACAAAGTTATGGAATTCAAAAGCTGTAATTCACAGCATCTAATAAAATGTTTTTATGTTGTAAATGGCAACTAGGACTAGCCTGATTTCAACATGACCCAGAGTTTCATATCATCTTCAATCATCACAGTACATCAAAAGATTATGTGGTTATCCTTAACATGGAAGATACTGTGTGATTGCATGACGTTCCGAATGATACGAAATATGTGAATGGTTTTTGGAAGATCCGCTGATCAAACATCAAATCATTTAGATTTTATGCTACAAATGAACAGTACATTCACTACGTTGTTATCATGAATAAATTTGATAGCCAAGAAAAAAAATGAATTCGATATTTTAGGAGTGAGTTAAATTTAAAATCGACAACTGTGCAAACAATGTCAAACTTCTTTTAAAAACTGACTACTCGTCAGCTCCGAGTTTTGTCAATGCACGGGTTTATAAATAAAAGTTTGTAAACAGCTCACCGACTCGTATGCAAACACCAGTTATACGGTCTACATAAATACACAAGTCTGGGAAACCCCTGAACCCATCCTAAACATGTTAAACTCTCCATACTATAAACTTCCCAAGTAGATTACAGAGATTTCTTTCACCACCTTACTTCATTAAAAACCCATCTAAACTTATAGATACGCTTCATAATGTAAGACTGTGTGACTTGTCCATGTGTAATCTTTGTTTACAAATACTCCCTTGCATGAAACACTAGATTATATTCATAATTATCATTTTGATAAATACTATTCGAATAAAGCCACCAGATGTTCTCATCAAGGAACTCACTCTGTTATGTACATAGGATATCAGCTTCAACTTCCAGAACATAGCATACAGGCAAACTGATGGTGTTGCAATCACCAGCCTCTGTTAGCTGATAGAAAAGCCAACGGAAGATATCCTATAGTTTATTTTCTATTAACTCCATGTAGATGGTGATTTTGATGACAATCATGATTCAACTAACCACTTCATTGCTTTATTCAACCGTATTAATCCAAACATTTACACGAAGTCTGAAGATGATATGGTAGAAGAACCAGAAAATTGGTATTTCTAAAACAAACATGGGATGGACAATATCTTCATTTCAGTAGCTCTGTTCCTATTCAGTATAAATGTTCTTTGGTTAAATGTATATCCTTAAGATCTCGTCATATGTGTCTGTGATACACTGGATTATGAAACACTTTTTTACAAACTGATCGTTACAGACCTCGTAGCTCAGTTAGTACAGCATCAGGCCAGAAACCCGGTGGTCACTAGTTGGAATCCGGCAGCAGTCCAGATTTCCATTTCACCTTCAGTCATCATCCAGTGATCTTTATTCGCTAAAATTTGTTGTTTACCACAGTACAGATCAACTATCCACCGAGAAGACAGTTACTGTAGCAAAGAAAGCTACCTTCATCAAACTACTATTTCAGGGTGACCGGATCATATGGTTTTCAGCTTAAAAGATTCCATTGGTTATTCAACGCGCTTCTCTTTATTAAACCTTATAGATATTTTCTCTTCCAACGTCAAAAATTAAAGAGAGAAACTCCGTTAACTCCACTTCACATTATATCTACAAATTGACCTACAGTTGTGGAAAAACTTATATAGGTAGACCTAACAGAATGACACAATGCCATAGGAAAGAATGTTCCACAGGGATTGTGAGGTTACTCCGTTCTCTGCAAACTCTTGAGCCTGGCTCCACGACAGCCCAGAAGCTCTCATTTCTTCCTCGCACGACCTCCTCCATGTCACCCTCGGACGTCCAGCTCGTCGCTTCCCATCGGGGTTCCACTAGAGGGCCTGGCCTGACGCGTGATGTCCCCAGTCGGCTTTCTCAGTGTATGCCCAATTATTCTCCACTTCCTTCCGAATATTTCTTGAGCGATAGGTTCTTGGTTGGTTCGTTGGCAGGCCAGAGTTCCTTGTTGCTTATTCTTTCTAGCCATCTGATATGATCTTCAGTATCGAGTGAGCGTAAGCAGTTGTTGGTGAATGTCTGTAGTTTGTTGGAAATCCCTTTCTTAACGCGCCAAGTTTCTGAACCATATATCAGCACTGACTCGACGTTGGTGTTGGAAATTCGGATCTTGTTCTACATGCTTAGTTCAGAAGATCCCCGCACTGGTTTCAGGTTAATGAAGGCTTGTCTTGCTTTTCCGATGCTGGCTCTGACATCCTTGTCTGTGCCACCTGTAGTTGAAACAGTGCTGCCTAGATAGGTGAAGGAGGCTACTTCCTTAAAAGCAAACCTAATTATACACTGGTCATCTAAATCTCGTACCAGTTTGTTTTCTCACTGAGCGCTACTAAGATCACCAGTCTTCACTGACCATCTCTAGTAATACCAGTTAATTAGGCTCTAGGAAATCAAAAAGCATCATGAGGAATGGCTGCACTCAGCAGTGTGATTCGACTCATAAACAAGTTTATTCATCATTCCAGCGATGAAGACAGTAGAAAACAGAATCTAAGAATTCTCTGTTTTCTTGTCACTTAACTGCGCGAGTCAATTTTCGTTTTTCCAAAATGTAAATCCTACTTTTTTCCTGGTAAAATTGTTTCACTTTTAGCTTCAGCAACTTTGAATGATGGCCTCTAATTACTGATTCCTACAAGTCTTCATGCTGTTCATCTTTCTTATCCAAAATGTATGTGTATATATTCGAACAGATGTACGAATATTCTACATTTTGGTTAGGTTAATTGATCTTTCGAAACAATGGTTTTGCATGTAGAAGCTGAATAGGAAGTTATCTGTCTTTCACTTATCCGGTAGTTAGCGTTCCCTAGAAAAATCTATGTCATCCACTGACCCAATAGATAGAACATAGGAAGCTGACTAGTTTTGTTCAAGACAATAATGACTAAATGACCCAGCACGATCCGAATTCTTGATAAAACACAAATTTTCAAGCGCCTTTTATTAAAAAAATATATTATTCCTATTCGAAGAAATTCAGTAAAGGAAAATAAGAATTTATGACAAAAGTATTCTCATTAAAAAAGTGGAATTAGTTAATTTGTCCTGACTAAAATGAATTACTTTTGGAAAAATCATTAAAATTTTATTCCTGATTCAGAGAGATTGTCGTGGTCACGGTGATTGAGACTGTAGTTAACGATATCACCAATGATTCAGAAGACAACTCTTAATGATCTCATTTATTTCTTTTTGTTAGCCTCATGAGCTAAATCTTGACGAGAACTCTGCACCAGCAACTGCAAAATGAAACAGAAAAAATTTCAACACTTTATCAACGTTTATCTGATTTAAACGGAAAATGAATCTGAATCTGCTGAAAATTATTTTTATGGCAGATCAGTACGAAGAATCTGGGGGTCTCCGAATAACAATATGAGTCACTTCAATGCTAGGCAGTAGAATACACTTTCACAAACAAGTATATCACTCTCTGAAGATTATTGTTTAAACATGACATTCAAAACGTGTGTAGAATCAAGTGTGAGATGGATCCCTGATTACTTATGGAGCCCCTGCTCTAGAGTGACAAAGAAAGAACCAATCAAATATAACGATAAATAATAAAAGCTAATTCATCAAACTCATTTCTTAACTGTATGATGCGAAACCTTATTTTGAAACGGTCAATTGAATTTTTCAATATACAAGCAGATAATATGAATGTTTTTTATCAGTTTAGTTACTGATGAATAATTGATCTAGTTTTTGATGTTTTATTGTACACTGAATCTGTAGAGGGTAGTAGTAATGAGAAATGTTGTATAGCTAATTAACGCCAAGTTCTAATTTGATGCACCGAAAACCTTTGTACCTGATAAAAATCTGAAAGTGTTTTGTTTCACCACTGTCTCTATGTCATTACAAAAGCAAAGTGAAAGTGGTGAAAACGATTATACTGGAAGAAAATTAACAGTGAGAAATCATTTCATGGGATTGAAATATTACAAACATATAAGATTTTGAACCATGAAATTGACTGGTGTTTTCATTCAAAACAATCCAAGTACTGGGTGTCTAAAAAGAAACAGATGTTTTCATTAATTTCTCTACAAAATCGCTGAGAAAGAAAAAATGACTATAAACTCCAGTGTTTAAAGAGACCTTATGTTTTTTGGTTGCTTCATCTTTTCGATAGAAAAACAGAGTCCAAACAAGACGTCTTGTAACCGTGGTAAATCAATGACATAACGGTAGAATTAATATTTCACACAAACTGAAACATATACCACTTCGAATCTGCATCACAATGCAAATGCATGTGAGAAAGAAAGGTAGGTGAACTATTTCACACAAAAGTAGACACAATTTACAGATGGATGTGATAGACAAGGTATTATTTTTACAGAAGTGTCTCACCAACGGATTTCCAGTTGTGTATTACAGAAATACGAAATGAACTAGAACTATAAAAAAGTCAGTTTACTAATTTGAATGTTTATCATTGATGCTGCTAAAAAAGACAATATTTTAGTATAACTATACCCTACAAACGACCGCACACCGAATATACTACATGCTTAAATAGTTCATATGAAACAATATTGACCCGCCTAACATTTGGTACAAGTGTGTTACATAGACGCAAAACTTAAGTACACAAGTAATTCTCATACTACCAATTTTTTGCTAACTAGTAGAAACATTCGACTTGTGACGAAGGGCTAACATTTTTAATTTAGTTTCAGTGTCTACAGTTCTGGTAGTCAGAGACTATTACTAATCTACAAAGAGCTAGACTAGTTCACGATCTAATATCAAAACTTGCACATTGTCATTGATTTGTATATTTTTGTTTTCAGATTCGCAAATGCGTGTCCATAGTTTCTTTGAATGAAAGAAATGTGATAACGAATCACACAATAGTTGCAAAGATATAACCATATACGTGTACAGATCCTTATTCATTCATTTTCCCAAAATGACAAATTCTTGTCAAACGAAATGTGAGTTCAAAGACACCATACCTAACCACTAATCAGCACCTAACTTATATCACTGTATAAAAAGTGTACAATCCCATATATGGAGTTGCATAATTATGAATATTGGGAGTGATCAGACGACAGTCTTAATATTTTATTTTGACTTAGTCGCTTTCGTCAGAGATATGAGAAGTCAACATTTAACTAAACCTGAAACCTAACATTTCAACGGATATTACTGATACCAAACAACCTTTTATAGTGAATTGCTACTCAGATCTATGTGTTTATCCATGTTGAGATGTGTCTTGTAATAACGCTAGTGATGCCTTCTATGTGGGAAGTATCTACCTTGAGAAAATCTCGGGTTCCATCTGACAAGTGAGATTAGGAAATTTTTATCATTCCACTTAAAAAAGTACCTGTACAAATAAAAGGTGACATATTTAGTTTTCTTAATCAAATTGAACAACGAGAGGAGTAGAAGTTCTTGTGAAAGTAGTGCTTTTAGTATGAAAAAAAAAACATAAAGTAACCAAACCTGGTATATATCCTATGAACTAGGTTTTGAGCCTCACATCTTGTGAGGGCTATTTATACTACCAGGTTGGCCAGATCAGAGTGAATGGAGTGGGGCTAGAATCCAAGGTCTAATACATGAAAGTCGAGTTCTTAAACTAAGACACCCTTACATTTAAAGTTAAAATAACACGACGATTACGAAAACGGACGGTAGGTTAGAAATATTATAGGAGAATAGAACATGAGTATTATCAATAAAATAAAGGCATTACTTGATTAGCTTCAACGGTTTTCGTCCAATCACGAGCCCCAATCAGCTTAACAGCTTCGAGTAAAATCTTCTTGACTTTATCCACACTTTTACCAAACTCCTCCAATACAATCTCAACTGAGACCTAATGAAAATAACACAAAATAATTCAGTGCAGTTGACATAATTAAAATCTTTGGATTACTTTACTAAGCATAATTCATGAAATCTCTTATTTAGCGCTTAGTATATTGACAATCGATTCCTGGTCCTTATTAGTGATTACGCTTTGCTTGACACTGTTTACGATCCAACAGTTGATTGGAAGGCGAATAAATGGACAAGGATAAAAGCTATCGAAAGATCGTTGTCAGCTTAATTAAAGTACTAGTCAAAAGTCAAACCTGGTGTTTATTCAAAGCGATAATGCAAACAAAGACCAAGATGGAATCATGTCTACAACACAGTTGAAAATATGACAAAATACAACTACGGTACAAAAGAATTCGACAAAAGATGGATGTCGGTAAGACTGAAAAACTATAGTTTTATTTTCAAAATAATTAGTTGGTTCTGCTTCTCATAACAGTTATAAGCTTTCAACCAGTAAGCATCAGTGCAGAATATTGCACTTATACGCAACAGTCTCAGTTACCATATCTCATTTCAGCATATCAAGGTAAAAAGGCACCGTGATGAAAAGCACAAAAGTGAGACGAAGAAGTCGAACCGGTAAAACGTTGTAAAAAGAGAACAGCAAGCAACAAAACAGTGATTAAATTTGGTGTTATCATTCAGATGATGGTGTGTGAATGTAGCGACGCCACTGAGATCGAATTTGAACCATGACATCTGCAGTCTCCAACCACCGACTTCCCCGGTCATGCAGATTCCTATCGGGATGCCTGGGTTTCCCTACATGGTTCAGATCATCACTCAGTGACCTCATGAACCGATTTTAGGTTTTATTTTGTCCACTTCTAACCACTTTCTATCCTAAACCTACCTCAGCTAACATTGCACAACTGGACAGATGGTGACAAGGCACTCATGAAACATGCCTTAGCCACCTGAGTCGATGGAAACACAAACGTCATGAACTGCCTTTTCTCATTCCCCTAAAACTACAAGTCTAACTGTTATGTTATTAATGTGGTGGCATCACAACACACCCTATGCTATAAAAGCGACAGTTATTGGAAACCTGAGGCCTTCTCATGTCCTCTAACTGTAATGTACATGTTTCAGATCCATGGAATAGAGCAGGGCGTACTGCTGGATAATGGACTCGGTCCTTATTAGGCACTCGGATACCACACAGGTGCAATAGATGGCGTATGTTGGGAAAAGACAAGTGATTCGTTTGTATGGATGCAAAGACTTGCTGACCGCTGGCCAACTAGAGCTGAACCAACTTCTCATGAGAGTGAAGTGGTCAACATACCCAATTACATTACTACCTATTGTTAGACGCGGCACTAATGTAGATCAGTCCTTCAGCAACAATTTGCATTTGGGTGGTGGGAAACATTCAAAACATTCTGACATTGTCACTTTGTATCTAGAAGACTTTGCATCTTGTGACCATCTTCCCCTTACAGGACTATGCTATCCGCATACTCTAGCTTAAGGATTTGCTATAATGAGGTCAATGACTGTAAAGTCGGGTGAGGAAGGAGAGATAACCATAAGTACGTCTATTAGAAAATTTAGTAAGAATAAAGACAGTGAACACTTGCTCGAGACAACTCGACACACACAATTGGTTAAAATGCTGGCAGATTACACACCTGAAAAATATGCTGAACTGACAAAGATCGCCGGTTTAAATCTCGCTATAATATCGGTTTTCTTATCATTTTAATCGTCACCTACTTACACATATATATTCATCGTTAGGATCAACTCCAAAACTTTGAACCAAAAAGTTAACCGTAGAAAGGAGAAACCTAAGTCTTCTGACATCCAGTTTGCATTTGGATGAAATTCTACTGAGCGATGAACTTCGTTGTTCCTGTTAATATTTATTAGGGAGAAGGTACCGAATTCACAACAAGTACAAACACTGGACAACAGACAAATTTTATTCAGTAGTCAGTGTACAGAATTAATTTGTAATGAACACCGAAATGGACACCCAACAGTAAACAGCCTTTTTGAGCATTGTAAAGATTTTAGTGGTTGATACCAAAACTAAAAAGTAATAAAATTGCTCACTTACCAGACAATCTTCAAAATTCAGGTAAATATCTCTTTAGAATTATTGCATCACCTTTTAATACGCCGCATTATCTGCAACTGCCCCAGTTGTTTCTAGAGAATGACAGGATTTTAACTTGAATCTTAATGGGAATCAGGCCTAAGAAGACACTGTGAAAAGCATACTGAAGAAGTCAGGCTATGTAAAACCGAAGTGATGTTAACCTCAGTATTGACCCCATACGCTTTTACTTCTCAGGTACTAACATCATGGTTGAATGTAAAGCTACTGCGAAAAAGAAATGAGTTATTGTCGTAGAATGATGGAGAGAAATTCATTTCGAAAGAATCCACCGTCATTAGACCAAACAAAGATACACCGGACACCATTTAGTTACCAGCACAAGAATGATATTCTTTATCACAAAGCAATTTTAATATTTGGAAGAACAATTACAAGTAACAGACACAGTTCTCATTTATAATAGTTAAATAAATATCAAAAGTTGCATAACGTTGAGTGCACAACCTCTATTTACGATAAGCAAGCAACATCTATGTTGTCTCACATTCTAAAATAGAGGTAGAATGCAAGCAGCTTTTTTTTTATTTGACATACAAAAAGATGATTAAGACCACTAATAGTCCATACTTGTCTTATTTATTTAGGAATATGTGCAAGAAATTGATGAAAATGACCAACACTCAGCAATGAAATACCATGCAGGTTACTCACATGAGGCTGATCCGTCTTCCAGCAATCATAATCTGTAACGATTGCTAGAGAACCATAGCTCAAACCGGCTTCCCGCGCCAAAGAAACCTCAGGCACCAGAGTCATGTTGACTATGTCCAGACCCCAACTGCGATACAATGACGATTCGAAACGAGTGGAAAAACGTGGACCATTGATAGTTACAGCAGAGCCTTCAGTATGAACACATGGATGACTGCAATCAGTTTTAACACCACTTTTTCGGTCACAAATATTCATGGATAGATTTTTGGCTGCACTAATTAAAACCTAAAGGGGCAAGCACAAAAGTAAATCGACCATATATCACATAAATTGTAGAGTAAGACTAAAATTTGCCGTCAAATGATGATATACCAAGTTGTAGTACGTCATCCAATCACAAAATGAAATTAATAGGTCGGCCTATTGTCTTGTGTTGTTAGGATTAGAGTTCCCTGACCACATCAAAGTACATTATTTCTGATGGTGTAACAGAAAAACCAAGATCAGTTCTGGCAATGGGTCAAAAGCATGATAATAAAGACACATCTCAATGATTTGGTGTCGTGACAACTGATCTTTCTGGCGAACACTAGGTTTTACATAAAAATTTAGTTTAGGTCTGTGCTAATGGAGACTATAGACGCTGTGAATACTCTGACTGTATTTCAGTTTCAGATAAAATTATTATGAGAATACTTTAAGAGAATTACAGTATCTACTGATTAAGTAGCTTATCAAATAAGACAATCAGAAAAATCTTGCTTTCCTTTTCTAAACACGCCAAGATCATTTTAATCTACTTGGTTGAGGCTAGTAAATGAATCCAGGACTCGCCACCTGGATGTACCTGTACCACAGTGAGTGATGCTGTTCGCACTGAGACTCGAGCTTTGTATCCATCACTTCGAACGCCAAGGCGTTATCCATAGGGCCACCGAGGCACGATAGTCACCTTTTGTACAGTGGGTATCATTTATCATTACTTGTTAGTCTCCACTGTTATACTGGATCGAATTGATCGACCTCTACCTCTATCAGCATATGGCTTGGGTCTAAGTGGGAACAACACCACTCGTTGGAGTGCAGGTACATCCAGCCGACGAGTTCCAGATAGGATGAAACGTGTCTCAGATTCCTCTGCTAGCCATAACAAAGTAAATAAATACTCAGACATCCGCATGGGAGTCCATATGTCAACAGAGGTCGATCAATCCGACCGAGTAAAACAACGGAAAGTTACAAGTATATCAACAAATGGTAACACTGAGATGGTTTCAAAATAATTTAACGCTGAACTTTACGCTAAGATTTGAAACAATTCCTGGAAAAACATATTGTTCAAAGATTGGACATTGTGTACTAGATGTTAAAAGCAGCATGTTTTTGATTCATGATTCAAAGTAGTCATAATTTTCAACGAATTTCAATCTAAAGAGCCTCACAAAGACAAGTGAACAAAACTTAAAATCGATGAATTTTTTACATCATCACTCTGATCGTTATTTTCTTTTCTTCCACCACTAAGTCTGACATTAGATATACCTCGTCTTACTTTATATAAATACAGTGATGAGAAGGTATGGGTGAACGCAAGGTGAGAATAATGATATCAGAAATGATAAATAACTTAGGTCCAGTCGGCAGCTTAAACAGTGATATTCATTAACGAGATACAGAGGAAGATAAAGTAATTATCCATCTGTTGAACAGATATAGATTTCAAGCCCTACTACGGTCATAGACTTTAAAGTCCCCAGTTATTTATATGTTGGTGTACAGTAACATGAGCCACAAACCGCGTGTACTCAAAATGCGTAACTAGCAGTAGAGTCACACAACACTTTAGGCACAATTTAGAAGTTATCATCTCACCACTTATTCTCTTGTCTGCTCTAGTGAAAGGTGAGAGGTTCTGAAAGTGCTTCCTATTTACTAACACTCCGTGAGGCCTTTGGAAAAATGATGAACATATACTGACAAAAATGATACTTTTTACGAACACGAAAAACGCGTGTTCAACGGCGCAGACATTTCTTTCTTCACTATTTTAAAATATTCAATAATTTTAAAAACTATGATTTCTGGTTAAATTGGTGTTTTTACTTAATACCGAACAATGTTTGCGAAATTACAACTCTACGTCGGTAACAGGCAAGGAAATAATAGAAGAATGTAAGTTACGCAAGGTGTATGAAAATATGTAATTGTGGTTAAAGTACCTGCGAAAAATTTGTGTAAACTGAAATTGCTTAATTATAAGTACGTAATAAAGTGAGTAAATGGTTTCCAAAAAAGTATATGGGAAATCACCATGCATTTAGATTTTGAGGAATAAGAAAAGAAAACAAAGAGTTGGTTGAAATTAGGATTTCTTACGAGTCCTGGGCAATTGTATTTAGTCATTCAGATGCTGCAGGATCACATCTTCAATAAATCCGATGTTGGCTATGTTGTGCGGGGCAAAAAAGGTTTGATATCGATGCTGGATCCTAGTCAGTTATAGATGGAACAAACTAATGACCAAAATACTGGTGTATGCACCTTAACCCCTTTGGTTGTTCTGCCCTTAAGTTTGATGTCAAAGAACTAACTGGTATTTTTTGCCCAATCGTTCAACACCTTTCTCTGGTGACAAGGAAAAATAATAACATAAGTGTAATGCGAGTCAACTAAGTGAAGATTTTGGTACTAGACTGTGAACCACACTTATTGTGTAAGGGTGTATGTTAACACATGATTTCTCAAGCGACGTTTCCATCCCTGGAATATAATGCAATATAATGTAACAACCAGGTACATCTTAATGCACTAGGCTGAGACATACTTGTTATGTGAGGCCCTATGTTACTTTCAAGGTGTCCAAGTCAAAGTAGGTGGAACAGGGATCGAATTTATGACCTTGTAGTGCACCTTTCTGGCATCAAAATGCAACTAGGTCCCAAATAAATAGACTAAATTGAGTTAAATAAATAAGAACTAAACAAGATCCTAGCTCGCCTCCGGATGCTTTAGGTGATTTAAGATTTGTTTCAACGAGGATGCAGCCAACTAGGCTTCGACGCCATTTTGCACTCTCTTTGAGCTAGTTAGTATGCGTGTCAACAGAGTCCCTAGCTCAGCTATATTAGTCAGATAAGTTGGATAAACTTTTTCCCTAATAATCACTCACATTTATTCTATTTAGACATATTATTCTTTCGAGATTTGATTTGATTTATTTCGGTATTAGATAAGGTACTGATTAAGCTGGTACTAGAGCATATCAAATTTAGTAGAGCTGGTTGGGCGTTATGTAACACTATCACGTTCAGTCCCCTACAACCTACTGCTTAGAAGTCTAGTTCCTAATCCAATGAACCACATCTCCATCCCAGGAACTACTGCTTGAAGGTAGAGTGCCTAAGCCAATGACTCACAACGTGGCAGGCACAGGTAATCAGAATGGATACAAGTAGCATATGTTGAGAGGGCGGCAGAAATCATAGGCAATTACCAACAATGGGTGAAGATTCTGCCCAGGGAAACGCAAAAGACAAGGTGGACATATTAAGAGCAAATCGAGATAGAAGCAGAAGAGGAGATGAAGCACATTGTGCAAACGACTGTTTTACTGGGAAGTGTACAATATTTGATGACCAATGTACAAAATGTCAATAATGAACATTCCTTCCTGCATCTCAGTTTCGTCGTTTTCTACAATATCTCCCCTCAGTGGCAAAGAAAGTATATATAGTTGGTCTTCAGACCAAGTGGTATACTTGAAGTAAATTCAAATGCTCACCTGACGCGTTTCTTCACAAAATGGGTCCCCCATAGGCATGTGTAACACGCCTTTCATTGCACCAGGTCTACTACCGTAAAAGGTAAGTTCTCGACCCACAGTCCTATCGTAAAACTGATTTAGGACAACAAAATCTCCAGGATGTATGTTCTCCTGCAAACTGCCACATGCATTAGTAGCTAAAATATGGGTACATCCGGCCTCTTTTAACGCCCAGATGTTGGCTCGATAGTTAACTTCACTGGGTAAGATTAAATGTTGCCTTCCATGCCTAAAGAAATAAATACAGAAAATAAACTTGACAATACAATCTAATAATAAACAAAAAAGGAACTCAATTCTCGCCAGCGTGCAACAACTACCTGAAATTAGTTACAGAAAATAGTTTGAGTGATATATAAACAGAAATGAAGAACTTTCCCATCGCCCATCGCAATCAGAGTAACGTAAAGGGGTGGAAAATTCTGTGCTAACAACGGTAAGACCTATTCGAAAGTTGCAGTTACTTCGGACATAGGATTCACCTTTATAGTATGCTTAAGTTGCTGAGTAATTACAATTGATTCTCAGACTTAGTAAAAAGTAATAAAATGGAATTTCTGTCTTAAAATTAATCCCTAAATTAACTTTCTGAGGCAGAGAATGATTACAACTACTGAATTTGTGTGTAACAAGTCGAATGTTGAGACCTGATACAATTAGTGATTGGCTACATATGTACATTCAAAAAGAGCAATGCTGTTTTAAAGTTCCGATAAAACAGCTGTTGTAGCTTCCACAGTTATCAATGTGGACGTTTACTCTGAGGATATTCTAGTGAAATACTGAGCTATAGAGTACTTAGATGAATAAAGCCAGGTGACATAATGGTAACGGTAGTATGCTTACGAGTTTTAAGTCAGTGATGTAGAGTCAGAAACACAATTATGTTGCACTGAAAACATACAGATAACTTCTTCGATTACATCCCTACAAAGTACGACTGGGTTCCACCAAACTGTAAGATGCTGTTTTCAGATGCGACCTTAAACTCTCGAAGCGAAGGACATATATAGGAAGTGAAACAAAGGCAAGATTGCACATTGCACCTCAGCGCGAAACGTGTTTCAACACCAGTAGTTAGTAAGAAAGTGCTTTATCGTTTATGGTTGACTCCCCAATTTCTGACCGTCATAAATATGCTAAATATGACTGTTCATTGTATGCTAATCACTACGAGAAAAAATTTAGTCCTGCTACTAGGCAGGATGAAGGTAACGACTACGGTGTGAGAGATAATATCAAATTTTGAAACATGTATGTTTATTTTAACGAACCTAAACATAGGGTGAGGGTCTACATTCGCTCACAGCACGTATACTTTAAGCATAAATAAACTGAAGTCAGAAATGTAGAGAAACACTAGTACTATTCTACATATCGAGATAAATGTTAGTATATGAGAGACTAAATCAGTAAGTCACTGTTGGTCGCTTCCCAAATTGTAATCAGGTGGAACTGCTGCCTTGAACCAAGTTCAACGAAATGAGCTAACGACATAGGGATCTTTGATCATACACGTCTCGCGCTAGCGTCGCTTGCATGTGTTGGAACAAATTTGTTAAAAAGGTTGAGCGTATGAGTATAATACTAAGTAAGGAAAGGAGTCTACACAATATGAATGAGAAGCTATACAATCTAAGGTGTTTCGGATGTATAATACATAACCCACTACCTACCTTGACACACGGTCCTAGTTAAAGCATGTCTAGGTTTAAAAAAACATGCGTGATGTGACTTGAAACTGGTTACAGCGGTGTAGGCGCATACATCGGACGTTTTCGAACACTATTGCGAATGTTTTCCCAAACAATTTTGCCCGCTTTAATACCATTATTCACTTCATTTTTAAATGCTGCTATGCAGTGTGGCAACTTTATTATTAAAAGTGTTATACTTCTGTCAAATGTTATGCAATAAATCATCTCTATTCACTTTTTAATTAAATTATATTAGAAAGCAATGTGACGATTTTGTAGCAAAGAAATGGAATTTCAGCAGTGAGTAGCGGTTACCTGGGAAGCACAACACATGGGACATCTCCAACATATCCTTCAGTAAGAACATCCGACGGATTTCCAAATGGAGTGGTTACAGTGCGCACCTTGACTTGCTTGAATAGATTTGGGTCATTAAACCCTGAACCTCCAATTATGCCAACCTGGTACAATACAAACAAATTTTTACTCAAACCGGTAGTAAGTTTTGAAATTTGAAATTTTATTCAAATTTCGTCACAGCATCTATTTTCACATACCGAAAACAGCTTAAGTCGACTGAAGGTTTATTTTCCACAGAACATTTGTTAAGCCTTATACACAGTGTCGAAAAATTTATTGGAAATATGAAGTATTATAGGAGACTGAAGGTCAAAAACTCAAGACAGGCGAGTAAGTGAATGAATGTGATGTGATCTCACCCAAAAGTAGTTGAGTGAAGATTAGGTGAAAAAAGAAAATGTGAATATAAGTCCGACAAACTGTGATATGATAGGAATCAAGAGAAGTGAAAACCTTATGGTGAAATAAAACGGACTGACACAGAATCAGCATGAAGATATGAAAATAAGGAAGAGCTAGTTGCATGACACATGTTTATTCTATTTCAGTTCCTCTTACTTTGTCATAAAATTATCCTTTCTCTCGATTCCTATCATGTCACATTTTATTCTGACTGATATTCACAGATTTTTTCACCCAATCTTTACGCAACTTTTTTTTAGATGAAATCACACCATATTTATTCACTCACTCGAATCCTATCTTGCCTTTTTGATATTTAGTCTCTGATTATTTTCCAATTGATTTGATGATTCATGAAATACTATCCTCACTCACATTAATGCACTTTACGGTTTCATTTATTGTGAAAATGAAATTCACACACAAATATGAAATATATTGTGGAATGTGGTTGGCTTTCGCGAACTTAGGCCTTCTGCGGCGTCACCACGACATCCGATTGTCTGGGAAGGGTCGAGTGTACTGTACTGCAATCCGCTCTGTTCTACTGTATGGCGGTGAAACATATCCACTTAAGGTAGAAGCCATGAAAAGGCTTTTGCTGTTTGACCACCACTGCCTTTGTAGCACAGGTTGTTTTGTGGTGTCATCACGCAAATTCAAACGTAGTTTTAGGCAGGAGAGGTTGTGAACCTCCATCGACTGAGATGTGTTACGAAGGCCTAGCCATCGTCTGCCTCGTGGTAGGCCCAAACTGGAAAAAGGCTCTGTGCGGTCAGACTAAAACATGAAATCAATGTATGAAGTCCTTGACTGTTCATTTGAGTTACTTAGGGCTACGCACACTAGCCAGTTGGAGTCCACGGGACAAGATAAACCAGTGGTTGGATACTTCAAGTGATATAGCTCACAACCGAGGTCAGTGGCGCAGATGCATACACGTTAACCGTTACACTTAATCTCATTATCTTCTGATTCTTCCTTCTCTTGTACTACTTCCTACTTCTACTTCCATTGACCGGTTTTTCTCTCCATTTTCCATGTTATTGCCTTGTTACTTGATGTGCTGATATGAGGTGTGGCAACTTGAATCGTTACGCGGTAATGCCTGGTCCTATGTTGATCTTGATGATGAAATTACTGACCTTAGTAACATTTCTTAATATCCAGTCATCAAATTTTAGATTAGAAAATGTCGTAAAAGCTACAGGTTCAAAGGTCATTTCATTTTATTGCCTACACCTCAGCTTCTAAATCTGAGAATTCCCTTTCCAAAATGGACGTCAAACCTGGAAGATATGAGTCATTAAAATACCGAAAAACCCTCATGTTGGAATATCGGAACATTTTTCTTTCTTATAGAAACTTTTATGTACAATGCAAACACGATACGAACGCATAAAGAGTATCACTTATTCGGATTCATTCGTTTCGATGGTATGTGCAAAGATCCCAACATAAGCATCCATATCACTTTTATATGCTTACTCCAGGCTTGGATAAAGAAAAGTTACTATCCGAACTTCATGAAATTCAACTGTAGTAAGGAGCTTTGAACAGCGAGTGATGACACCACTTCCTGCCTAAAAATGTTTCTCACTTATTCTAGTTAAACCAGACACCTTATACAGATGCCAGTTCCTATGAATTCATTACTAGTCTCGACTCTAAAATGATAACCTACCATTTTACTATAGTGACTATTTAAACTATCAAGCTAAAAAGTATTGATTTTCAAACAACTTCTTGCCATCTTTGAGACAACTAACTGGTTTTCTTCTTGAAGATCACTGAAAGCTCAGATCTTTAAGTTTATCTTGGACTGATACAACTTTTACTTCACCCACATATCAACATTTAGCCATAGATAAGCGGTATAATTTAAGGTCCAATAATATGAAAACATGCCATACGACTTCAACTTTATCACTTTGAAAAATGAATAGTATTAGAATTCTCATGTAGCTTTCTGAGATATAATGCCAAAGGATTATGACTTGCTTGGAAGCCTGTAGGAGTTGCAACAAAACCGAAGTAGGAACTCCACATAAATGCAGTCAGAGTCATCTGAATACAGAAGTTTTTGTATTTATAAATTACAAGGACAACAACAAGCAGAAAACCACTAACCCATTAGGGAATTTATCCTTCAGTAATACTACTGCATGTCCCAATGTATTCTGCATTCACATTATTTCGGCTACAACCCATAAAATCATGACACAGTGGTTTAAATTTGCATACACTATGCTGAGCTCTACTTTTTAACCTTGTTAACACTTAAGGCATTATCTTTGAACCTTATGACCATGATACACTGCCAGTAAACTCTTTGCTTTCATCACGGACACACGAGATGTCACAGATGAATAACGGTGACTCATAGCAGATACACGCGGCTAAAATTATCGACATACTAAGCTGAACAGTTTCCATGCAAATTATGCTAATTACCGTAGAGAATAAGGGAGATGGGGCACAATACAACGCTTGAAGTACCTACCTTTGGGCTGATTTTGATAAGTATTCAGTAATTAAAGGAAGCTAAAACATTTATTGGTAATAGGAACAGTGGAAATGGCTAAGAAGGAACTTCATAATCACACATGAAACCTAGTTAAATTCTGAAAATGACGTCGAACAGACGGGCCCCTTAGAGAGTGGATAAATCAGAGTTTCATTTTCCATTTCATCCAGCAAGCTTCGTCTACATAACATCATCCACCTAGCCACATTCACGTACCTAAATGTACATTTACGTGACAACCTTACGCGGACAAGTACTAAAATTAGTCCTCCATCGGAGTCAATGCGCAATAGATACGTGAATCAACACAAGCCAGTCGAATTTATAAGGAAGTTTCTCCTTAGTGTCTTCAGTCAGCCATAAATTCGTAAAGCTAACTGTATTTCCATATGATTGTGATGTGACTCCCCAACTAGGCACTTCCTACGTCCATAAAACAGCAACGAATCTACAGTCGTCACATCAATTTTGCTCTACAGGTTAAATCTGACAATAAAAAATAATCAAAGAAGTAATTTAAAATGAAAAGGCAAGGCAGTGGCTACTGAGAAGAAATATAGTGAAAAGATGAGGACAGAAACCATTCTAGGCATGGAAAATGATGTGCTTGACTTCAAGAAAGCATGCCAGATCACCCACTAAAATATTCCCACAGACCTACTTCTTTGTATTCGCAAACTAGTAAAGGAAAGATGAAACAGAACATAGCTACTGGAAATCGTAAGTCTATCTGGGTGTTTTGAGAAAAGCATGGAGTTTTAAATAGAAAAATTACCTCTCTGATGAGGTAAACGACACCTCAGTATCCACTGTGATAAAAATTCAGCACAAACAATATTCATGTCATATTCTACGAAGCATCACATCATACTTACCTTAACTTTGGACATGCTTCACTTGCGATATTTGCACTTATTGCAGGTTGTGATTAGGCTGTATGAAGAGCTCACGTCTTACGATGCTTGACTCAACGAATGGTCAAACCCTGAAGAGAAAATTCTCTTAATTAATAAACAGCAGGAAAATGTGAGGCGATTCTGCGACCACAGAACGCACATACATTCTTACACGAACATATATAAAAGTTTTTATATAACGTTTTCAAATATAATTGCAAAATAAACCCTAAACCTATCGGCTTCGTATGCTCTTCAGTACTGATCACAATTGTCGGCTGTACAAATTAATTCACTGGGTTCTAAAGGGAAGGACGTAATCATATCCAGTGGTAAATCCTCAAAAGAACTTCTACCACGATGATGCCCGTCGTCGGCTCGAGCACGAAAGGAGGCATCAGTTCTTAGTCGGAACTCCCCGTTAGAGTATGACATCCTACCATCTAAACGGCAAAGGGCTCAAGTCAGGTACACCAAAGTTCGCAAAAGTGGAATCAATCCACCTTTTACGACGTCGACAAAACGTAGAACGGTGACAGTTTACTGGTAAAGGCATTCTACCAGAGGACACCTTCTTTTACTAACCGTTGTCGATTTATTACATGATACATCGTTATTACTAGCATTAAATTGCTTAAGGATGCATAATTGTCATAGAGGAACATATCAAATAATTTATCCGCACTATTTCAGCACTGCCCGCCTTATTTCAGCCCTCACCCCATTATTTCAGCAAGAACCGTCTTATTTCAGCACTACCCGCATTATTTACGCACTCGCCACCTTATTTTCGCGGGGCAGGGAAATTTTGTGTAAAAATTTCCTACCCCTTATCTATCGATCGGTATATTGTGCTAGTGATCCTATTATTTAGGCGTTCGCCCGCATTACTTACGCATTATGGTGTGACTGGGAACGATCGAGGATGCAGAAAGTTAACAGTAGGGCCTTTTTGAAACCGAAACTATTACATCCTAAGCATAATTAAGACATAAGCACTCACCTGTTATTCAGATTGGCACACATTCACGTACAAACAACTTTTATACAAAAACTAAGGATCCAATATCCAATGCTTTTTAACGAGCTAGTGTAAATCAATTGATATTTTCGCGCTCGCTTCTAGGTCTTGTGGAACGGTTCCAGGTCTTTGGTGGATTCCAATGCAGTAGGTCTACCCACTCGGCTGATGTTGCTCTGGTTAGCCCAACGGGCTGTTGGGTGTTGTTTAGATTTGTAGGGAGTGTTTGTTTGTTTGCTTTTTCTTCCGAGGACTGTGGTGCAGATGGGTTCCTCAAATGTCATGCCAGTAAACAATTGGTCGGACTGGTTGTGAAAAGGAGATGAAAAATATGTGCGGAGAAATCAAGGGAGAGAAAATGCAGAGAGACAGTAGAAAAAGAAAAGGAAAAAAGGAAGAAGAATATGTTGAAAAAGATTAGGAAAAAGGAAACGGCACGGAAGAATAAAACTTTGGTAGGTTCATGGGTAATATGTGATACGGAAAGCTTTTGTTAAAGTTTGAGAGCGTAAAGTCAGAAGGAAGAATAATAAATAACATGATCGGACGAATGCGAATATAGTAATTCTTATAGTGGGAAACGGTAACTTGAGGGGACGTCTACAAGAAGGTATAAAGTTGAGCCAAGTTCTCAGTGATAGTGGTTTTACAAAGTGTTCAGTAACGGTTGGTTGTACTGAGTTAGTAAGTGGTGTTAACCTAGTCCACATCCCAGTTGGGTGAGCGCAAACAGTGCGTCACTGCGTAACTGTCCAACCTCTTCTCTAAGCTGTCAACAGACGGAGCAGTAGCAATCTCGGCAGGCAATGCGTCCCAGTGGCCGCAAACTGGCAGAGAGAAGTGTGATCACACGCGGGTTTTCGCTGTCTGGTGGGCGATTCTCCTTAAGTTGCCACGAGGATCGCCATAGCGGCCGTTCGGTAGGATTCCACTGTTCTGATGACTTGGGTTACTTAGTATTTTGTAGGCCGTTATCAAGTCACCACGTAATCTACGGTGGCTAAGGGAGTAGAGCTCTAGATCTTTCAGCCCATCCTGATATGGTTTTTGCCTCATTCCCACGACACCCTTCGTAGCTCGCCTTTGGACTTTCTCCAGGAGGTTCGCGTCTCTTTTCAGATGTGGTGGTGACGTTGTGTACCTCTAGTTGGGGTCATATATAGGTCTCATGCAGCTTCGAAAAGAGTTCCGGGGTCAGGGCACCCAACTGCCTGCGCATGAAGTGCAGTACTGCGTGGGCTCTGGAGGCATCTCCTGGAAAAATTGGGGCTAGTGTCTAGTTTGTCAGTTATTATTAGTCCTAGGTCTTTCCCTGTGGTGGTGTGGGAGAGTTGTGTTCCACAGGGAGAATAGGATACCTCTGAGAGTCTGGGGTGTGGAGAAACACGGCTCGGCATTTATGTAGGTTAAATGTAAGTCTGTTAATATCCACCCACTCTGCAAGTAATCTGAGATCACTTTGCAGTGCACTTGATTCTGTTTCCGACGTCACGGCTCTCCATAGCATAACATCAGGGTAGAGTAGGATTGGGGAGCTGAGATTCATTGGGAGGTCGTTCACAAGGAGAAGGAATAGAAGCGGACCCAGAATCTCCCCTTGTGATGCGTCAGATGATGATGTCCTCCGAGTCGAGCAAACTCTGTTGGCTTTTGTGCGGAACCGTCTACCGTCTAGATAGTCCCGCAACTGTGATGCCCAACCTTTCTATTTTGTGAATAAGAACGGTGTGTGGAACTGTGTCGAAGGCCTTAATAAGATCTAGGAAAATGGCACGGACAGGAACTTGGAGGTCCCAGCATGTCGTCCACTTATCACCTGCCACCAGAATGTTTGTGGCACAGGACCTACCCTTTCTGAAGCCATGCTGAGCATCACTTAGTGCTCCCCTCTTTTCTAAGTACTCCCTGACATAGTCATCTACCAGACTCTCCATTACTTTTGACACCACTGGTAGAGGGGCTATGGGTCGGCAGCATTTTGGGTTCTGCCAGCCTCCACCTTTGAAGATGGGGACAGAACAGCACTTGCCCACCCCTGTGGAAGCATGTGATCGTCTAAGGAGTGTTGAAACAAGTTACACAACGGACCGCACAAGGCACCCGCGCATCTTTTAAGCACAGCCGGTCGGATGTCATTACGCCTTGATGATTTTCTTGCGCAGAGCTTTGACAGTTTTTCGACGACCCTAGCAGGAGTTACCTATATTCCAGGCAACTCTACTGCGTTTGGTGGTGCTGAATTTCGGTCGGACAGTTGGTAATTTTGGTTCGATAGGGAAGTATTGAGTTGCGTATAGAAGGTGGCGAAAAAGGCTTCGGCGATCTCTAGGCCGGAGAGGCTCTCTCCGTCTAGGCCTTCCGGGACGCAAACCCCTTGGCTGGTGGATTTTCTGCCTGCCATTAACCGATATAGGTTTTTGGGATTTGCCTCGAGCTTTTGGGAAAGGTTCGACTGGAATGGCCGCCTGTCTCCCCTCACCCTGATGTTACATCGATTTCTCAGGGCAATATGCACAGCGTGGTCAGACTCTTTTCTGGAGGTCCTCCACTTGTGCCATGCTTTCCTCTTGGCTTTCAAAAGGCGTTCAGTGCCTCGCTTCAACCATGAGGTTCGCTTCCGCGGTATTGCTGTGATCACTGGACGTTTTCGGAGATAGCCCTCTCGATGATATCTCTGACTAGTTCCTAGTGTTGGTCAATAGATAGGTTACTCCACACCTAACTCCATGGTGCAGTCGACAGATATTGGTTGACTGCCACGTAGCCTGTCCCTCCGTAACAAAGACAGAGGCGAGATCCCTCCAATGACAT